TAATAATGTGTTTGCGTTTCAAGAATTTTGAGATTTCATCTATAGGTTTATTCAGTTTTAAACATACATAGCTCCTTGCTATACTCATTCCCCATTACTTTACAACCCACTTCTGAAATCTGTGAGGTTGCTTTTGTCTTGCTGAATTTTTTCCTTTGTTTTCAAGATATATGTATATTTCAAATATGAAAACGACTTGGGAAAGAATATCCTAAAGTTTATTTAGAAATTCACCAGGCCACATACTAATGCATCCCTAATGGGGACATTTCTTTCACACCTCTGAGGTGATTGAGCCTGTCCTTTAACGTGAGATTTGCAAACCTGTGTCTGGCAGCTCCAATTAGCTTCTTTTTGGTTTGAAGCACATCACAAACAGTAACAAGGTCTCCTAGGACACTCCTCTTGCAAGCAATGTAGTCATATTTCCTCATTAGTTCTTTTCAATTGTCACTAATGCCATGTTCTAGCTTTTGAGGAGGAGACAAAAAAACATAAAAATTTGGTATGTATGTAGAATGGGCTGTTGTTTTCCATAATTCAAACGTCTTTTGAATTCCTTTGATAGTTTTGAAGCTTACACAGCTTAATTCATTAACCTTTACCCTTCACATAAATCAGGTGATTAGAGTCTACTGCTAAGGAGACAGATACTTCCCTCCCCTGAAACTTAAGTAATGCCTTCTTTTCTTTGAACAACAAAAAAAAAGAAAACCTTATATAGTTCACAAAAATAACTGTTCCATTGCTTTTCAATCTTGTCAAGTGTTTTAGGTGTGTTTTAAACATTACCAGAAAACAAAAGTGCCTAAAATTATGTTATTATAAAAATAATTCTGGATGCTTTACTTCGGAGCATGTTTTCTGGCACTTTTCTGAAATCCGAAAGAATATGTGTGTGTGTGTGTGTGTGTGTGTGTGTGTGTGTGTTACTCAAGAATTTACAATAGTAACATTTAAAAAAATTCTCTTCAGACCCCTGCCAGAACATAACAACAAGAAAATAATCAATTTCAGAATAAACTAGAATATGCAAATGAACATAGAACATTTGATGGGAGAAAAATTTTATATGGACCTTCATTTTAGATAAAATGATGATAAAGTCTTTAAAAGTGATAGCTGTTTTGTGGCTCCTTATAGGTGAGACTAGAATATATTTTTCATTCATTCTTTCCTCTTGTTAAAGACAATATCTTCTCTTTTTTGGGGGGGGGTCCGGTCATGGGGCCTGAACTCTGGGCCTGGGCACTGTCCCTCAGCTCTTCAGCTCATGGCTAGCACTCTACCACTTGAGCCACAGTGCCACTTCCACCTTTTTTCTTTTTGCTTATGTGGTGCTGAGGACTCGAACCCAGGGCCTCAGGCATGCAAGGCAAGCACTCTACCACTGAGCCACCTTCCCAGCCCCTCTTCTCTTATTTTTTAAGAACTCAGAAAGACGGTTTATAATTTTACTTGATCTTCCTTAGGTACTTGAAAAGAAAACATTGCTTTTTGACCTAATGTCTTGTACATCTCATTGTTGCAATGGGTCCGCCTGTATCCCTAAAAATGAACTTTACAACTTTGGCGGGGGAGGGGGACAAGGTTGGGGGGCTGGGGCAGGGTGGGGGGGAGGGAGATGGGAAGAGATGGTAAGAGGAAACAAAGGAGGAGGCAACAATGCTTGATAAGAAACGTACTCATTATCTTGCCCACGTAATTATAACCCCTCTGTACAGTATTTTCACAATAAAAGAATAAAAGAAAAAAATTGCTATTCTTTGGTATTTTTCTTACATTTTTCCAAAATATGAATTTCCTTCTTATTAATGTATACATGATTGTTTTTCTTAAGGCCATAGTTATTTTTCCGAATGTTATAATTTCTTATCCTAGCATACAGGAAAGACCTTTAATATATTGAGTATATAGAATGTTGGCCTGTGTTATTCTAGCGAATAATAGGGGGACAGGAAATGGAAGAGGAGGGAGAAAATTTTGAATTCTAGATTCTGAATTTAGGGGTTCCTGGCTTATCCCTAGGGACACTGGGATTGATGCATATTCTCTGTGATACATGTGAGTATGAGAGGTAGGAGAAAACAAAGATTTGACCTAGCATCTTTGGTCCTGTCACTCTTCTCAAAGGTGGTAAATGTTTTATTGGTACCATTTAAAAATATGTGTTCAATTTATATGTGTATCTGTTATCAAGAATTACTGATTTACCACTTTGCTTTCTGCTTATGTACTACACAATAAACTGATAGCTGTTGTATTAATACACAAATGTTCATGACTACAGCCAAGATTGTACAAAGAGTAAATGTGGTTCATGGACTTTTTTGTGTGTGTTCTGCTAGTGTACTATAATATATTCTGGAATATAGTCTAAAAATTTCAGGAGGAAAGGACAGTTACCTCCTATGGTCTCTCATCATGACCCGCTATCACCACATGCTGCCTGAGAAACGACCTAGATGAAAGATAAGGCTTCCATCAGTAGCCGGTGATATCAGGTAGTATTCCATTTTCATCAGTTGGCAGGAGCAGGGTAACACAAACCACTTCCATTTTCAAGTCTTAAATAAAAAAGCTATTTTACCCATAACATAAGCCACTCAGTTTTATGTTTTAATATGTTAAAAGTTTCAGTTTACAGAACTTGGAATTTTTCTCTTCAAATAATATCATATCCATGAATGATAAAAAATTAAATTTTGCTGCATATTTCCCAAGGAATAGGATTTTTAATCATGAATTATTTTATTTTAATAATTCTATGATGTGCATATCGTTAACACATCGGCTATGATTACAGGAGAATTAAGTTATTTGGGAATGCCTTTGTAAGTGCACTTTCAAAAATAGAGCAAAACTCTTAAATGATCCTATGGAAAAGGAAAATAGTTTTATATTTCTTCTGCCTTTCTTAGTGTATAAAGTGCTTAAAACTTCTTAATGATGTGCTATCACTTTGAGCCAACTACATAATCCTTATAATATCTGTTCATAATCATCTATACTTCCTGAAATTTTCTCCATCATGTAAGAAACATGATGCCCATGGCTTCATTAAATTTGGGGACAATTGTCATCTAGTGATTGTCTTATTTAATATCAATATCAGTTCTTTTTGCCTGTGAAACCACATTTGATTTAGCTTGTACAGTAAAACTGATTTGTATTATATGCTGTGTGTAGCTTTCTCTGTATATCTTTAGTGTTGATATGTGCTTTGTAACATATAGAATATCTAGTTTTTAAAAAAGAAATACAAAAAGATGATTACATTTGTTTAAAGTTTTTCTCCAAGCAAATATGAAAACAGAATTTCACACTACTTGAATTCAATGTGAATTTTCAAAATAAAATGGCTAGTTTTTTTGGTGGTCACCATAGAATATTGGATTTGGTAAATTATAAGAACAGTGAAATGTGTCTCTCATCTTGCAGGAAGTGGTCAATTTTTTTACACTATTCTAAACATTTATATTAAGTGATTTAAACTATTTAGTTTTTTTGGCCATCATATAGACCTTTATTTTGATTCTTAGCATTTTAAACTGGCTTTAAAATCATATATAAAAACGTCTATTGTCTATAACATTTTATTTTTTCCTAGAGCTGTGTTTTTAAGAGAATTTTTTAAAATGTTACATCAAAGTCAAATAACATGGAATTAAGTTTTAAATGTCCTTTGAAATAATCTGTATCAATCACAATTGTATTACATACTATTTTAAGGGTTTATGTTTGTTGTAGTCATGGTAAAGCTTATATACTTTTTTATCATTAATCTCTTTTAAAAAAAGAATTTCCAAAGAAGAGCTTGTTTTTTTTTTTCTGAGAACCTGAAATGTTTATCATTCTATTAAACAAAATTCTATAAAAATACTTTGAAAGAAAAATGCATCTTTGCTATAACTAACTTAACCTTCAATAATGAATTTTGTGAAGTAAAATTATATAAAATTTCCTGACATTTTATGAAGATTTCTACAAATAAGCCAAGCAGTAAATGAAATATCTTAAAGACAAAGATGGATAATGAGTAATTTTTGATGGATTATACACACAGGTATCAAATTACTTGATCCTTACTTCCTAGAAAAGGTTAATGACTCTTGTTTGCTTTTACCCTTTTACTTAACTGTTGTTTATAAAGATTAAGATAGAGATTGCACTGAAGGGAGCATATACCTATATGTCACTTTGACTATGAAAGTTTTTATAATATAATAGGGAACTGAGCTACATAATGGATAAAATTGCTAATCATTATTAAAAAAATTATTTGAATTCTATGTTACAATTCTCCCAGGGCTGTTAGAACAAAATCACTATCCAAAACAGTATTTTTTCTTCAATAAAAATTAGACATGATTTTAATCATATGTATTTGTCTGATTATTAAAAGCCCTAAACTCACATAGTAATTCACTTAATTTATTAAAAATAAAGCATTTTAAACAAAAAGCTACTTTTTTATGTGCATATTTATCCCTTCTATAAGTTAAAGATTTTTAAGACATTTTTTTATGGTGAATAGCATTTTATGTAAACTGTGCAGTTTTTGTTATCAAACTTCAACATTAGTAATTGCGTTAAAACAGTATCACTACATATTTATAATAACCACTAAACAATATTTTATAGTTGAATTACAGTTACTTTTATATAAATGTCATCTTTCACACAGCACATGTTTACTTGTCTTTGTAACTGAATATATCAGTAATCTTATAGGACCGTTCTTTTTTTCATCTGTCATTTTTAAAGGTGCCCTGGCCATACATGTATTTGATTAAAGCCACTTAGGAATTAGAGCACTTAAGTTTAAAGCAGGGAATATAATACTTTTCCTGAAACACCTTGAAAGAGGTTTGTTGAAAGAAGAGAGCTGTGGCATTCATCATCTACTGACATCTTCCTGTTATATTTATGGCCAGACCATTGCTAATTTAGCTTAAAATGCATTAGTATAACTCAACACTTTTTTGTGTGTGTTTCAGGTGTGTGGAGGTCATTGCAAAGGAAGGACAAAACCTGAAAGAGCTGTATTTGGTGTCCTGTAAAATCACAGATTATGGTATGTTATGAGCCATTTTCAAAAATAAAGGGCTATTAAATCATTAAAGGTTTTTCTTAGAAGAGGAATTATCTTATACAGACCATTTCTGTTCATTTACACTAATTATGATGAAACTTCCCCTCAAAATGGCAGAGAAATTGGGATTTAAGAACCAGAGTAAAATGAATGTGTATATCAGTTCATTGTTCATGTAATTACACATGCACACACATAAACACACACATGCAAATACACTCACATAGGAAGAAAAGGTATGGATAGAAGTGAAAAATTTCTGGCCAATTAAATATAAATAAATTAACATAACTGAGGAAATTATTAAACGGAGTATATCTGCCAACTTTAATATCATATCAAATGTATTTCTACTGACACTTTAAAGGCCAGCCTTCTTAGTGCTTTAGTTTTTTTAAGTAATAGAGATGTCCATATTTAGATCTGTGGTAAGTAAAGGGTATGCATTTGTTTGTAACATTTTATTTTTTGCATGTATTTTTTATTGTAAAGATACTGTACAGAGGGATTGCAATTACATAAGTAAGGTAATGAGTATATTTCCTATGGAGCATTGTTACCTCCTCCTTTGTTTTTCCTCTACCAACCCTTCCCTCCCTACCTGTCCAACTCCTGCCTCCCTCCCCCCGAAAGTTGTAAAGTTCATTTTTAACATAGTGTCTTGCACATCTCATTGTTTGTAACATTTTAAATTATCTTAAGTTTCAATATCCTTTTAAATTGGAGGAAAGCAAGATATTATGAAAATATATAATATCCTATTGTAGTAATAAATAAAATAACCTAGCTTATACTTGTTCAGCTTTTATTTTTCTTAGCAATTTATATATTTTAGTCAAAATACAGTTTTAATCAGGTATTTTGAATTATAAAAGACTGAAATGATTCTTTTTCCCTTTTGTAATTTTTTATTTGTTTAAAGTTGATAAATGCTTTCTACTTTGAAGAAAATTAATATTCCATTATTCTTTTTTTCTATTAGTTTTGACATCTACTAATGTCTTCAATCCTATGATGTCATGCTTGCCATCTGCCCTGGATCAGGGATTTGTATTTTAACAGCTACTAAACTCATCATTTAGGAAAACTACTAAAGCTATAATTAAAAAAAAAATGTTGAATTGGATATATAGCTAAATGGTAGGCTACTGATCTAGCATATCCAAGGCTGTGGATTTAATTTTTAGCTTCACAAACCAATAAATGTAAAACTTTTATATTTAAAACATCCCTAGCTAATTTTCAAAGTTAAATTTTTAAGAATGATAAATCCACCTCTTATGAATTTATTCATAACATTCCTGTGTTGTTAATTTTTTTCCTAATTCTACCTTGTAGAATTTTAATGTATTGTTTTTCTTGCCTTGTTCATTTTTAATCCCATTTTTGCAATCTAGTTACAGTTTCTCTTTAAAACCTTCACTATCACTCTGTTTTCTCTGCCCAACATAGGGCATATTGAGAATATGTATGCACATCTGAATTTGTTGATTAACTAGTACTAGCATTTATTATAGACTTTTTTTTACCTGGCATTCAGGTCTTTAACAGAAATTTCATAACTGCATTTCCATTCTTGTATGTTTTTCCTCTTTACCTAGTCACTGCAGGCGATCAGGGGCAGTAAATTAAGTCCCTTTTCTTTTTTCATGAGCTCTTCTGAGATTGTGCAATGAAAAATGTCCCTAAAGTTACAGTTTGTTTTGGAGGTACAGAGATATTTTGACACATAACAAAGCTAGCACCCAGCACATAGCTGTTAAGTTAGCAAATGCAAAGAATGTTCTAGACAATATGGAAAAGAGAAAAATCTTTGAACATGCAGTGGATTTGTGGTAACAATCTGGCTTTGTTCTTTATTCCTGTTTGTGAAGTTCCTTCACGTGTCTTTGGCTTAGTTTCCTCATTTGTAAAATACAGATTTACTGCTTGTTTTTGTAATTACTACTCAGTCTAGTAATATTCACTAAAAACTTATTACCTGCTTTCCTTTATTAAAAAAGGGTGTGTGTGTGTGAGTGTGTGTGTGTGTGTGTGTGTGTGTGTGTGTGTGATTCTCAGTATAGTTGTTGTTTTTAGTTATATATAGTTACTATTGTTTTGTGGCATTCTTATGTTGCTATGTTGCAGTATTTTGAGATATTTGGAGTTTTCTTTTGGTATGGTGAAAATATGTTGCATACCCCATGTAAGCATCAGGATAAATTGGAGATCTTCTATTTCACATGAATGCACTATAGCACTATATCAAAGATTACTTAAATCTGCATTTCTAAGTACTAGTGCTCACAATGAGATTGGTGAATCCTGCCTAAGTGATAGTCATGTCAACCAAAGTTGAGAACAACCTGGGCTAGTCCACTGGAGAGGAATTGTGGGAATATTTTCAGGATGCACCATCCATAGTTATGAGAGATCAGTCATGATTTTTCTTGTACCTCAGTCCCTCCAGCCTTCAAGCTTTCTACTTTGCATCCTCTAATCTTTCTTCTTTCCTTAGGTTTGAGGTACTCAAAATGTTCATAGTTAAAATCCTTATGAGGAAGAGAGAAAAAAAGGTCAATAAGTTCTAAGAACATACTATAATTGCTTGTGATTGTAAAGTGAAAACAAATTACTGAAAGTTTGGTTCAACTCATTTTTTTTAGTACACTGGCAGTAATTTGTGAGTAGAGTAACTTTTTTTTTAAAAGACAGCAAAAAGATTATTCTACAATACCAGAGAAATAGCATGCCAGTGGAGGTTGTAGTTCTGCTAAGAGAGGCTACCTTTTTTCTCTTACCCTATGTTAATTTTAATTTCCAAGGAATATAGTGATCTTCTTTAACTTGGTAAGTAGACAGATATCCTACAGAATGTTTTCATTATTGAAATCAGTAAATTATATTGTATGCCTAACACTGTGGGCTTTTATCCTTCAAATTACTAGACTATATTTCTGCTTCTTATTGCTTTACTCATGTTCAAGTTGGCCAGTTCTCCCCTTTTCTGTGATACTGTGTACATATATGGTACTATGTGTGTATATATGGTATGGTGTGTTTATGTGTGGTACTATGCATATATTTATATATACATTTACATATATACATCTACACATTTCTATTTGCTTTTTTAATACATATTTTTATTGTAAGGATACTACACAAAGGGGTTACGGTTACATGAGTAATGAGTACACTTCCTACCGAGCATTGTGACCCCCTTCTTTGTTTTTCCCCTACCATCCTTTCCCTTCCGACCTCCCCAACTTCTCCCTCCACCCACGCCCCCCCAAAGTTGTAAAGATCATTTTCAATGTAGTGTCTTATATATCTCATTGTTACAATGGGTCAACCAGTATCCTTATTTCAGCTTTTTGTTATTTCTCTTCCCCTCCCAAAATTAGAAAAATGTATATACAAGATGGAGAGCACCGGAATCAAATACAGTGAAAACAAGGGTTATACCATGGGAGAAGCACATATAAAAGAAACAGAAAATATCATACAGTACATTATAAGAGCATTAAAAACAACAGCAAGAAAGAAAAACTTGTGTCCCTATCTTGGGGTTCATTTCGCTTAGCATCATCTTAATGGTCATATGTACATAGCTTTTGATCTTTTCTGCTTGTCCTAGACACATAATAGTTACTGCAAATAAGGGAAATCATGTGAGTTGTGTTTCTTTGGGCCTGGCTTACTTCACTTAATATAATTTTCCCCAAGTCTTTCCATTTCCTAACAAATGAGGTGGTCTCATTCTTTCTGAAGGAGGCATAGAATTCCATTATGTGTGTGTTGTGTGTGTGTTTGTGTGTGTGTTGGTTTCATATCTTAGCTATGGTGAATAATGCTGCGGTAAACATAGGCCTGCTGGTAGTTTTAGTATGGCCCTGGTTGTGATCCTTTGGGTAAATGCCCAAAAGTGGCATTGCTGGATCATAGGGAAGCTCTATACATATACACATTTCTATACATGTATAGCATGTGAAAAATTTTGAGAATTTATTTAATTTATTAATTCAGAAACAGCATCTCACCATTTGTCATCTTTATCATGATTCCCATAGGGTTAAGTGTGGTATTATAGTACTTAGCAATACCTGGCTAAGTTACGAAGTTATATTTATTGCAATTGATATCCAATATAGTTGTCATGAAGAAAACTATCATGCTAGTAGTCTTATAACTCTCCATATTGAACGTAGATCTTTATGGAAAAGGATAGCAATTGTAATCAAATCAATAATTCAGGGAAATTTCTCCCTGAAGAGATACTTAATATTGTTACTTTTCTGTCACTGAACAAATGTATGTTTTAGGCAGTATTGTGGGGAAATACAAACTTAGAAATTAAAATTCTAGTTTTTCCTTTTGTTTTCTTTGCTATTTAGAGCAAGCTACTGAATCTCTTCCTTTCTGTCTTTTTCTTCTATAATGCCATCAGTTAATATGTGCCGCATAAGGTAATGAATATATAAGATCTGTGCATTGCATATGATGGCACAGTGGATGCTAATGGACAATTTTAATGTATAATGACAAAATCTCTCTCTCTCTCCCTCCCTCTTTCTCTCTCTCTTTGTCTTAGTTTGTCTCACAGGATTAGCCCTCCATCTCCTGCAAATGTAGCCATTCCATTTGTGAACATTATTATTTAGAAGTTGGAACAATGTTAATCTTTACTTGCCTTGTTGACTTCCAGACCCAGTAGAGAAGAGAAAGATGTAACAAGAATTTTTAAAACTTTCTTTGGTGTTATTGTTGTTGTAGACTTTGTATAACATTTTAGGCCATGCTAGTTTTAAACTTTTGGTCCTCCTTACTCAGGTTCCCCAGAACTAGGATGCAGGTATTACACAACATTTGGCCTAAGAAGTCTAAAATCTTGAATTTAACCTCCCTGTCTTGAGTTTGATTCCCTTCTCTTCTTTTATAGTTCTTCTCTTGGTTGCTCTTAGTTTTCCTGTTTCGTGGGTAATTTGTTATTTCATAGT